GGGGGCTGAGGCTTATCAACTATAGAACAAGATGCTCTTCCTGTCTTCCAAGAATCCCGAATGCTGATTCTGGCCATAGACTAAGCCCTGATCCTGGTCACAGACTGAGCTGATTCTAGCCCCAGACTAAACCCTGATCCCTGATCCCTGGTCCCAGCTCAAGATTGATCCAATTCCAGCTCCAATCCAAGCCCTGATCCTAGTCACAGACCTTAGGCCTTGATGCTGATCACACATTGAGTCCTGATTCTGGTTACAGACTAAGCCTCAGTACCAGCTCCAGATTGAGCCCTAAATCCTGCTCCAGAGTGAGCACAACTATGGCTCCCTGGTCAAGTCTGAAACCTCACCTGGGCCATTGGCCAAGTTCAGACACTCCTGTAAACTGGTCCTGAGTTCTAGAAAGCTGTGATTCTAAGTCTAGATTGACCTCAGTTTTTGTCCCCAGAGTGTACTGGAATATTGTCAATGGACACCCCACCCCAAATCCTAGCCATAGGCTGGGTCCAGGCCTCAGATAGATTCTAATCACCTTGGCAGCCTGAGCCCTGATCCATGTAGAGCCCATCATTGTCAGTGGGGTGTTCGTGGGCCACTGTCACCAGATTCTCTCCCTCTGCCAGGGCTTCTTCACAGACGAGGACACACACCTGGTGAAGAAATTCACTCTGTATGTGGGGGACAACTGGAACAAGTGTGACATGGTGGCCATCTTCCTGTTCATCGTCGGCGTCACCTGCAGGTCTGTGATCTCGGGTGGGCTGGTGGGCACACTCTAGGGGAGCCACTTGGTCTCTGAAATCCTGGGATGATTCTTGCATCTGCCTTTGGCCATTTGATTAACAAGCTGCGTGTCCTGGGAAAAACCTTTCCCTCTTTCTGGACACCAGCAGCCCCGCCCAGCCTGTGTCCCCCTCCAGAATGCTGCCCTCGGTGTTTGAGGCGGGCCGCACCGTCCTGGCCATTGACTTCATGGTGTTCACACTTCGACTTATCCACATATTTGCCATTCACAAGCAGCTGGGCCCCAAGATTATCATCGTAGAGCGGATGGTGAGTTCCTGGGACCCCACTTGGGGAGTGAGCCCCCTTGGGCCCCAGCCCTAGGTAGATGGGGAGACTATAGGACCCTTGACCTAGTGGATGGTTGAGACTCTGGACTCCAACCTCATGGGGACCTTAGTCCTGGGTCAGTGGATGGTGACCTCCCTGGACCTTGATCCTGGGTGGGAGTAAGGCCTGTGGGACCCCAACCCTGGATGAAGGTGAGCCCCCTAGAACCCTAACCCTGAGTGGGGGTGAGCCCCCAGGGACCTTGACCCTAGATGGGCATAAGGCTCCTGGGACCCCAACCCTGGATAGGGCTAAGCCCCCTTGACTGGGATCTAAGGGGCGTGAGTCCTCTGTACCCCTGGGGGGAGTCCCTCCAGGGCTGCCCTGGCATTGTGACTTCCCCCTCATTCCACAGATGAAGGATGTCTTCTTCTTCTTGTTCTTCCTGAGCGTGTGGCTTGTGGCCTACGGAGTGACCACTCAGGCCCTGCTGCACCCCCATGATGGCCGCCTGGAGTGGATCTTTCGCCGTGTGCTCTACCGGCCATACCTGCAGATCTTTGGTCAGATCCCGCTGGATGAGATTGATGGTTCGTGCTGATCCAGGAGGGTGGACTGGTGGGACCCTTCTGTGCCAGAGTGGAGTAGGCCCATGGCTTCAGGGTAACTGAGGGAGGTCCCATTTTAAACTCCAGGACATGTGGCTCTCCACTAGGCCTTCTGGGTCACCAGGGCCTCAGCTAGGGATGACCAAGACAATGACAGCCCTCTCCCAGGCCCCAGGTCCTACAGACCAGGCCAGGACCCAGAGGCCAGGCAAGGCAGGGCCAGCAGAGGAACCCCCAACCTTGCCCTGACTAAGAACTAGGCCATGGAGAACCCAAATGGCCAGGGATGGCTTCCTCCCTGGTTAGACAGAGGGTTTTGTGAGGGGCAGAGGATGTGTGGTATTGTCAGCAAAGCACAGGGTACCCAGGCCACCCTGGCCATTCCATGGGGCTCTCACCTATCCACAGTCTGCTTGTCACCAGACCTGACAGCATCCTGCTCCTGCTGGTGGCTCCACCTCATCTTGTGTGTGTCGCCTGTTGGTGTCAGGGGTGTGTGGTTTGTCTCTCGAGATGGATGCCCCCGCCCAAGCTGGGCCCTGTGCCCAGATGGAGCTGGTAAAACTTTGGGGATTTCTCCAATATAAGTAGGTGCAGGAGTGTGCTTGCTGCAGGGGTCTTGTGGGCTGTGGAGGAAAGAGAAGGTCTGAAGCCAAGGTGGGGACCTTGAGGCCCTGGGTGGCTGGGGTCGGGTGAGCAGAGGGACCCAGCTCCTCAAGCAGGTAAGAGAGCCAACATGGGGCTCAGGACACCAGCCCAATGGAACAGTCCTGGGGGTGCACAGACTTGGGGGTGCAGAGTGAGGCACAGTCTTAATCTGGTATGAGGATGCTTGGGGTCACCTGACTATGGGTCCATGTAGTTGGACGGGTGGCAGACGCCTGACCCAGGGGAGGCTGCTAATGAGGTCAGGCCAGCGAGCACTACATCCAATAAACATATGTGAAGGGAGGCCGGTGAGATTGGCACACGTCCGGGCCTCCAGGGACAGAAGGGCTGGAAATCGCCTCCTGATTGGGGTGTTCCCAGGTCGTTTCTGACACTGTTCTCTTCTCACCACATTCATTCAGCACCTTTGGTGTTTGCTCACCCTAAGCCACCACCTCTCCAGGCCATGAGTCTAAGCAGACCCTTCCCGTCTCGCCTCTTCCCTTCTCTATATGGCCCCATGGCCCCAGGCCCCCTGGAGTAGGAGGGTGACTCAGCCAGGGGCAATCTGGGGTCTCAGTTCCCTAGAAGCTGTAGTTCTTGCCTGCTCCTCCACAGGCCTTGGGGGACAGGCCTAGACCAGTTGGCAGAGCCTAGAAAGGGCAGAGGGGTGGCAGGGTCCCAAGTCCAGGGATGGCAGTCCCTGCGGGGTCAGCAGAAACACTGTGGAGGTGACAGAGTGGGCCAGTGTTCTAGCTTGTTTCTCTATCGCTGTGACAAAACACTCTGACCACTACCAACTTGGGGAGGAAAGGGTTTATTTGTCTTACACCTCCCGGGTCATAGTTCATCAGGGAGCGCAAGGTAGGAACTCAGGGCAGGAACCTGGAGGCAGGAGCTGGAGCACAGGCCATGGAGGAACGCTACTTACTGGCTTGCTCCCCTGGCCCATGCTCAACCTCCTTTCTTATGCAATACAGGCCCACCTGTACCACCCACAGTGGGCTGTTCCTTCCCACATCACTCAACAATCAAGAAGATGCCTCTCAGACATGGCCACAGGCCAGTCCAATGGAGGAAGTTCCCCAATTGAGGCTCCCTCAACCTAGGTGTGTCAGGTCGGCACTAAAGCTATCCAGCACAGCCACCTTCACCTGCTCCCTCACTGGGTCTTTGGGTGCAATTCCCCCCCAACACACCCTGAGTCTACCATGTTGAGGGTGGAGTTGTATTCCCTAACAGGCCTGTGGTCAGAAGGAAATGGGAGCCTGGGCAGCCCGGCCGGCCTGTGAGGTTGTGGAGACCCAGGGCAGCCCTCCTCTCCACAGGATGTTTGCTGTCCCTTCCCCTAGGGCTCTGAGCTCCAGAGCCAATTTTACATCTAGTCCACCCTAGTGGTGCCTTCTCACTCTCTCAAGGCAGGATGTGGGGGCCTCATCAACCCCCCCCCGCCCCCAGGGACTTTCATCAGACAGATGCACCGCTTCATAACCAAGTGCTTGGCCACCCTGGGGAATGGGAGGGGGTCATGAATCAGTACCAGGAACAGATTCATGTGCTGGGGGCTGCCAAGGTGGCCTTAAAGGGGACAGGACAGCCTCGTACTCTCTGATCACCACACCCCCCCCTCCATATAACACTCAATAACTTGCCTGTGTACTGACCTGTCATAATAACTCAACTGGGGAAACAAGGCCAGAATTTGCCCCAGCAAGGGAGACAGGGTCGGAGAGAACCGGTATGTACAGGTAGACCCCCAAAAGCCAAACACCCCAGAACTTCACATGCAGGTCCCAGGTGACCCCCGCCCCATCTTGGAGTCAGTCACAGCACAGAGACTTGGAGGAGCAGGCACAGGAGCCCACTGAAGTGTACAGGTGGTACACCCATGTGCAGACATGAGCATGGACCCACATGCGGTTACATAGTCACACACTAGCACATGCAACAGCAAGGGCCTTCAAGGGAGAAGCAAAAGTAAGGGGCTAGCTCTGAGGGGCTTGAGTTGCAGCCTAGGGCCACTGGAGAATGCACAGGGAACTCCCAGGGTGGGCTGAATCCTTAGAGTGGAGATGGCTGGAAGGCTATAGACTCCGACCCAACTTAGAGCCCTGGGAATGGGCAGTGAGTCAGTTCATGCAGCAACAGACAGGGGGCTCCTGGAACTCTTTTGTCCCCTCTTCTAACCCTCCCCTGGAATGTGCTTGCCTCCACCGCCCCTTCTGGAAACCCAGCAGAGTAGAAGAGGAAGTGTTGCTGAGCCATCTTCCTGTCAGATTTGGTGGGACTGGAGTTTCAGTGCTCAAACCAGCCAGCCCTGAGTGAACCACACGTGTGCCTAGCTAGCACCAGAGCTCTGGGGCCTCAGCCTGGGACGACACACCCAGTCTGAGGGTGCCTGCTTGCCTTTCAGAGGCCCGTGTGAACTGTTCCCTCCACCCACTGCTGCTGGAGGGCTCGGCCTCCTGCCCCAACCTCTATGCCAACTGGCTGGTCATCCTCCTGCTGGTCACCTTCCTGCTGGTCACAAATGTACTGCTCATGAACCTACTCATCGCCATGTTCAGGTACAGCCCTGCCTCGCCCCTCCCAGCCACCTGCCCTCTCCACACCCATGCCCTAGGTATGTGGGCCCCAGCTTCTGGCCCCTTCTCAATGAGGCTGGTTCTGGGGTATAGGCAGAAAGGGCCTGGGTTCCTGGTACGTCTCTAGGAAGTGCTGGGTCTGCTGGGCTGGCCCTGCAGTGAGCTTGGAAACACCACATGTAGGCACACTATAGCCAAACCCAGCTCCACAGACCCACCGTCTATCCTCCCTAGGAAGGGCTGGGGGCTCAGGAGGGTGCGAACAGCCCCACGGGTAGGCCCATACTGCGGCACACCTGAGATGTAACTGAGGGGCGCTGGGCTTCTGTGTGCAGTGATAAGACTCTGAGCCGAAGCTACTTAGGGGAAGAAACCGTTTGTTTCATCTTACATGCCCAGGTCACAGTCCATGTCTGAGGGACGTAGGGGCAGGATCAAAGCGGGAGCCACGGATGGATGCGGCATGCTCACATACTCTGCTTAGCTAGACTTCTTTTTATTTATTTGTTTGTTTATTTATTTTGTGTATGTGTATTGCCTCCATGTATGTAAGTGCTCCTGTGTCATGCAATGCCTGCAGAAGTCAGAAGAGGTTGTCGGATGGGTGGTGGGATTTGAACCTGGGTCCTCTGCAAGAGTAGCCAGTGCCCTTAACCACTGAGCTAGAATTCTTAATACAGTCCAAGATTACTTTGCCAAGGAATGGTACTGTGTGAGCTGGGCCCTCCTACTTCAGTTACCAGGCAAGGCGGTCTCTCACAGACATGCTCACAAGTCTAAACAAGGCGATCCGTCAATTGAGACTCCATTCTCCAGTGACTCTAGGCTGCGTCAGGTTGACAGTTACAGCTAACAACGATGATAGCCTGACTCTGAAGGGGCTTCCAGAACAGCCCAGTTGCCCCCTGGACGCATGTGGGGGATGGGGATGGGGGATGGAGAGGACATGAGTAGACATGAGGGGACATGAAGGAGATGATGGGTGGGAAATGGGCTGCAGGATGCAGTGGGATGCGGGTAGGGGGTGGATGTGGGATCAAGGTGGGATGCTCTGGGAAGCATGGAGAGGATCTTGTGAGGCGAGGGCTCAGCCTTGTGTCCTGTAGCTACACGTTCCAGGTGGTGCAAGGCAATGCCGACATGTTCTGGAAGTTCCAGCGCTACCACCTCATCGTGGAGTACCATGGCCGCCCAGCCCTGGCTCCCCCCTTCATCCTGCTCAGTCACCTGAGCCTGGTGCTCAAGCGGGTCTTCAGGAAGGAAACCCAGCACAAGCGACACCACTTGGGTAAGACCACAGGCCAGATGCCGCTGCTCCTGAGGATGCTGACTGCCTGGGGAGACTCACAAAGGGAGGCTGGGGCTCCTCTGCTGAGCCCTGTCCAGGCTGAACAATGTCCCAGCCCCAGACTAGACAGCCATAGGGCCGGCCCCCATGGGGCAGGCATGGGGCTTTTTCTGCCTGGTGACACCTGCCCTTGGGCTCTGTTGCCTCACCCTGGGCCTGGGTTCTGCCCCAGGCCCCCATGAGGCTCTACAAGGCTCGCTACTGTCCCTCTACCTTGCCAGAGAGAGACTTGCCTGACCCCCTGGACCAGAAGATCATCACCTGGGAGACGGTTCAGAAGGAGAACTTCCTGAGCGACGTGGAGAAGAGAAGGAAGGACAGTGATGGGGAGGTGCTGAGGAAAGCAGCGCACAGGTACGGGGCTGGTCGGGCCACGCACCGGGAGCAGGGGCCACCACTCATGGGTTTCCACAGAAAGAACGGGCCGTTTTCCTGTCTTGCTGAGTGGTCTACCCGAAGCAGGGGCAGGACCTCAGTCCTCAGGAGGGCACAGAAGTATTCCATACCCACAGACTGGCCCCAGGTCAGGAATGAGAGGGGAGTAGGGCAGAAAGAGGCGACACAGTCTGAAGCGGGGGCACCCCAGGCCCTGGGACAGAGGAGCAGGGCAGGCAGGCTCCCCCTTGTGGTGTGCGGAGGGGTTGCCACAGTGGCGGCTTGCCCTGCCTCTTCACAGAGTGGACTTGGTTGCCAAGTACATTGGGGGGCTGAGAGAGCAAGAGAAGAGGATCAAGTGTTTGGAATCGCAGGCAAGCCAGCGACCCCGCGTCCATTCTCCTTCCCAGCGTGGGGCCGTCCATCTGGGGTTGGGTGGGGGGTACTGCCGCAGCCCTGCACCCAGCATCCTAAAGAGAGTGGAGGGACTGTGGGCGGGGCAGGCAAGATGCCGGGGCCGCGGTACGCATTGGCCTGTGCCTGTCTCTGTTCCAAGTCACTTTGGAGACAGTGTCCTTCTAAAGCTGGTTGGTGCTATAGAACCCAAAGTCCCCTCACCACAGACCCTCACTGTCCACCTATCACACTGTGAGGGAACCTAGCCCTGAGGAAGGACACCTGGGACAGCAGGTCCAGGTGCCATGGTAGGGAGGGGGGTTGGATGGAAGGCCTCCGTTCCCATGTCCTACTCCTTCCTCGCTCCCTCCAGGCCAACTACTGTACACTCCTCCTGTCCTCCATGGCCGACACACTCACTCCAGGTGGCGCCTACTGGAGTAAGTGCTGATCAGGTTTGGGGGGTGGAGTGGGTACAGGCTCCCCTCCTCGACTGCTGGGTAGAGACTGAGCAAGGCTGTAGAAGCTGTGCACCAGGCTCTTCCCTATCTGTGCTGGAAGATTCTACTGTCCTTGGCAAGTCACTGCTCCTTACTGTCCTAAAGCTCTACCTGGCCCTGCTGGGGCTCCATAGCTAAGGGCCCTTCCTCCCTCTTACTCCCAGGCCCTCAGAACTGTGGTCGCAGAAGCCAGCTGACCTCTGCAGGTGGCAAGGAGCACCCAGAGGCTGGCCTGCCACCCTCAGACGCCTGACACTGAGAGTCACCTGTGCTGGAGCCCCAGGCCTGGCCATCTTGGGCTTTGGGAACCCATCAACCTTCTCCACTTCTACCAGCCTCTAGAGAGAAGTGGCTTTCTAGGCTTGGACACAGACCACTTCTTCCTAGATATGTGTCCCAGGGAAAATAAAACCGTTCCTTCCTGGTGAATTTCTGGGATGCCCAGGACTTCCCCAGCAGGGGGAGCCCTCCACGTCCCATCTGAATAACTCGGATGGGACCACAAACACTGGCCAAGTCCCACATAGGGCATCTCCAGCCCAGGCTGGGCAGCTGCTTGGGGTCATCCCCTGTCCTACCCTGTGTTGCTAAGAGACCAACCTTTCTTTAAACATCCCTGGTTACCATTTCTGCCCTCAAAGACACATGTGTTTCATCAGCTGACCAGCTTCTGGAGAGCAAGGCTGGGTATGCTCTGTAACCATCAGCTCCACTGCTCTGCCCCTACAGCCTGTGTGAGCACTGTAGCAGTGACCCCAGAACACCCCCAAGGTGTCCAATGTTGCTTTATTTTCAGTGAAGCCTGGAGACCACTCCCACACTGGACCCTGGAGTAGCTGACACATGCATTTCAAACACCAGGGGGTGGGGCAGGGAGGCTTACCTGCCCCATGGGGTAGCATCTTGGCCTCCTCTATTACTCCTCCAGCTAGGTGACCAGCCAGACTGGTCCTTCCTCTTTGGGGACCCCAAGCCCTGGAATGTGGCTGCAGACACTCGCCCTACCTTACCAGCCAGGCTAGCTAACTTGAGTCCCTGGGCTCTACATGAGGTACATGCCAGTCTTCTCTGTGTCCCTGGAGTCTCCCCTTCCTCCATGGCCCAGCTTGGGCAGGACTGGGGCTGCACAACTCCTAGCATCAGCCTGTGCCATCAGGGGTGCCTTACAACAAGTCAGGAGTCCTAAAGACACACCTAGGACACCTGCCCACCTTCCTCTTGGCTACTAAGCCACACTCCAGCCTCTTCCTAAATCGTAGGGTCTGCACAGGCTTTCGTTGCTGGCTTGTGTGTGTGTGATTCTTCCCACCCAGGGCCATCAGGGGCATGAGGCTTGATGTGACTACAAGCCCAGTCTTCAGGCAGGCCCCATCAGTGACAAACCCTCAAAGCAGGCCACCCTTGGGTGAGGAGGGCAAGGTGAAGCTGGCTCCCTAGTTGCAGAGGGCTGTTATGACAGAGCCCACAGAGTGGGGCCCAGGCAGACACAGAACCGAGAAAGAGTCCGAGCCTTTATTGTTCTCCACCCGATGCCGGGGTCAAGGGCTCCAAGCCTACACTACCTAGTCCCAGGGCCTCTGTACTCTGGAGCAGGACAACTCAGAGCCTCAGCCAAAGCTGCTGCAGCTCTACAGATGTGTGCAGCTTCCTTCCCCACTGGCAGCAGGCCAGGCTGCCATACCAGCCTGCTAGGCAGGTGAGGAGGCCAGACACCGGCAGTGTGGTCAGGCTGGGTGCCCCGTCTCCGTCCCTGGCTCCTCAGGGCTAGTGTCCCTGCTTCGGAAGTGCCCTCTGGTCCGCTTCTTGGTGCCGTGGAAGCCCACGGCCTCCATCCCCAGGGGGCCAGCTGAGGACTCAGGGCGGTCAGCTCCTGAGGGTATGCCCATCTCCTGCAACCCCTGGGGGGCACTCCACTCCTCAGCCTCAGGCCCAGCCAGATGGGCCAGCTCCACAGAGCCTTCGCTCCCGGCCCCTGCTGCATCCCCTTTCTTCAGGACCCTCTTCCTCTCGGCTCTAGCCTCACTGCCTCGCACTGGTTTAGTGAAAACCACTCTCCCCTCTCCACAGCTGGAGGGATCCTGGTTGAAGGAGGGTACATAGTCTGCGGGGGGCGCCTGGAAGCGGGAGCCCAGGAAGGCCACGGCAGCCGCCCGATTGCTCTGCTCGCTGGCCTCAACCACGTCTTCCAGGCTGTACCTGGTCCAGCGCTCAGGGTGGGACACATAATCAGGGACCGGGGGCACCTTAGGTCGGCCAGGGCTCCCTGATGGAGGCCGGCTTGAGGGAGTCAGTGGACGCTTGAAGCCACCGTCGTCACCCCTGCTGGCTGGGGGTGCGGAGGGCGGTGTCTGCCGGGCTGCGCCCTCCAAACAGTCAAAGATGCTGTGGCTGCGCTGGGAGAAGGTGGAGCTCATGCCTCGAAGGTGGAAAGGCTGCACCGGCGCGGTGGGAGCACCCGCCGGGGGCAAGGGAGGATCATCAGGGCCAGAGTCCTCCTGGGCCTCCCCTGGGGACACCACTTCCAACTCCGCTCCGCCAGGCAGGCTGAGGTCCGAGTCCGAGTCGCTGAGGGAGACGGTGTCACAAGGCAGGGTGTCATCCTCGGGGGGTGCCTCGGCTTCCAAGCCAGCCTCCGCCTCGGCCATGGGGACCTGGGCAGCGCCACACCTGGAGCGGAGCAGCCCTGAGTCCCACGGTGAAGCGTGCGCTGCGACCCTCCCGATCCGCCCAGGCCCTCCTCCTCCACCTCCGGGTCCACCAGGCGCCTCTGCTCACAGCGGGGGGATGGACGGTCAACCCAGGCGGGCCTGTCGACGGTGCTGGGAGCTGAGGGGCGTCCTGGGAGGTGCAGGTGCGCAACTAGGGGCTGAGAAGAGAGTCAGCCGTCAGAACCCAGGGCGGGACGGCAAAGGATACGCGACGCGGCCTGGACCTCTGTTCACGGCAGGGGCGCTGTATCCGCCCCTCGAGCCGTCTCTGCCGGGCTCCCGGCAACACGCAGCCCCGCCGGGTACACACCGCTTCCGCGCGCGGCCAGCACCACCAGCTCGGGGCAGTACGGGCCCGTCCGGAGGGCTGGAGGGTCTAGCTAGGGTCGTGGCGAGTCGCTCACCGCTCCGGCATCTGCGTCCGACCCAGCGGCAGCCGGCTCCCCTAGGCCGTAGTTCCGCAGGCTTGCGGGAAAAGGACCCCGGAGGATTCGGGCCAGAGCGCCCACACACTCCCGCTCATCTTTCTGGGAAACTGAGTTTCCCGCGGTGTCTACGTCGCGGCTTTAGGTCCCAAAGAACTACAACTCCTACAAAGCAACGGTCCTCCGCCCAGTGACTGTCGGGAGATGCAGCTTGTACGCATGCGCCGTCTCCGGCGACCCGGTACCTACCCGGAACTAAGGCGAGGTGGAGGGGAGGGAGGTAAGGCTGCCAATTCCCACAATGCTCCAGGGCTAACTGCCAATCGCAATCTCCGGCGACCTGGTACCTACCCGGAACTAAGGCGAGGTGGAGGGGGCGGAGGTAAGGCTGCCAATTCCCACAATGCTCCAGGGCTAACTGCCAATCGCAAAATCTTGAAGGCTCCAGCGCCGCCTGTCGGGAGCCGCCGGGGGAGCATCCGCTTCGGACTGGAAGTGCGTCATCTCGCACTGCGAGCGCGATCTAGTTTTCCAGGCATTTCCGGCCGTGGCCGGAAGTGGCGTTAACTGGCTACCGGGAGCCGAGGGGCCTGAGGGCCTATCCGGCTGTAGGTATCACGGGCTACGGTGGGGCGCGGAGGCTCCAAGCTGCTCCCGAAGCTCTGCCAGGCCGTGCTGTTGAGCCCCGAGGCCCAGTCTGGAGGTCCGCGGACCAGTTCCCGCCCAAACCGGCGACCCAGCCAGCTTCTCCTCCTCGCCCCTGCACACTAGGCCCCACCTCGGCCTCCCTGCTGGACGCCGACCTCAGTACCGCTCCAAACACACCGCGCCTTGTGCAGGTCGTGGGCTGTCCCCATGCATACCTGGGGCCCAGGGTCCGAGGACGCCAACTGCGGCCCCTTGTGCAGGTCCTGGGTTGTCCCCGAGCCATACCTAGGGCCCAGAGTCTGTGGACGGCTGCTGTGGCCCTAACCTGGAGACCAGGGAAGCCCACTGGGCTGCCGCGTGCACCCCTCCTCCTTCCCTATGTTCCTGAGGCCCATGTTGCAGGTCTCCCAGCAGCCCGGTCCAGCTGCCCCTGGGCCTCGGCGCATAGAAGGGGCTCCTCAAGACCATCATTAGCCCAAGCAGAAAGGAGGCCCTGCAGAGTGGGGTGCAGAGACATAAAACCAAATACAGGACTGGAGCGGAGGCTGCTGGGAGCTGAGATGGGAATCTCAGCGCTTCCTTTCCACTAGAGACCAATTAAATATGCCAGGAGGATATCCTGGGGGAGGGATGCAGACAGGCTTCCAGGCAGAACCCATAGAGGAGGTTAAACTGGGAGCTGGAGAGATGGCTCAGAGATTAAGAGCACAGGCTGCTTTTGCGGAAGACCTGGGTTCAAATCCCAGCACCCACATGGCAGCTAACAACAGTCTGTAACTCCTGTAATTCCAGGGGCTCTGACGCCCTCCTCTGTCCTCTTGAGGGCATTGCAGGACACAGGAGTTCTTAACTAAGCTCATACACACAAAAAATAAGTCAAAGAGAAAAGACAATCGTGGTGGTTGTGGGGTATCTAGGAGGTTGGCCTGAGCCTCAGTTCACAGGGCTGAGGGGGCTACCAGCTTGCCACCCAGCCTGACGGAGCATTCCCAGGCACCTTGATGCTTGGGAGGAGGCAGTGTGGTCCAATTTTGCTGTTCCTCAGGAATGCAGGACTTGCAGCCCCCTCCCAGCTGTGTGGCCCCTCCTACCCATGTCCACTGGTGTAAGGTCAGCTTTGGGCCCCTGTTGAGGCAGGTACTGAGTGATGGGACGGACCGGGTTTCCAGCCCACAGCTTTCCTTGAACCAGCTCACCCTGTTCCTGGCAAAGTTGGGCGCTCTCCACTCAGGAAGGGGTCTGACAGTCTCTTTTAGCATGCCTGATTTTCTCCTTCTTTATTAAATGACTGTTTCAAGATGTAATTACAGTTGAAGGTGACGTGTTAGAGGACAGGTGCATTGAAGGCATCAGAGTGCTGGGACCCAGCTCTTGAAATGGGGGCAGGAGAGGGACAATTAAAAAGATGTGAGGGTACAACCGACAGGATGGGGGGCATGACCCCCCCACCCAGCTCAGCTACACAGCTTCTGGGCAAGTGGCTGTGGGGGAAGCTTGGCTCAGCAGATGGAGCTCCCCAGGGGTCTCAGAGCACAGTCACCAAGGCCAAGGCCAGCTCCACCCACACACGTGTCTATGTGACATTGGGCCTCAAAAGGTAACTAAAAAAGTTCAGAACAAAAACAAACCTCAAAAGTAAAAAGGCTAAGTGTAGCAGAGTAATACAGAAATATATACACAGGCCTTGGCCCCCAAGGTGGCCTCTAGGCAGTCTTGGGGCACTGTAGGGTCCCTGTGACCTGAAGTACAGGGCCTCAGTACACGGAGCTGTTCCTGATGCCACAGCATAGCACCATGCTCAGAATCATCTCGAAGATCTGTCGGAGGAGGGAAGGGTATGGTCAGCACCCAGGATCCCGGGAGGGGTGGCACCAGCCCACCAGACAGAAGCCCTGCACTCACCATGATGACAGCCACCACGATGGCTGCGATGCCGATGAGGTACAGCTTCCCAGAGAAGAGCTCATCGATCTTCTGGTGGCAATCCTGCAGGTGGTCAGGGTCAGAGCTGAATCAGTGACTGCTCACACAGGTGGGGGGGGGGGGAGGCTCTGCCCACAGCTTATCTTCCATCCATTCAGAAATAAAACCCACAGACACACTGCCTGTGGCCCTCTCCATCAGGGGATTGTAGCATTGGATCATGTGTAGAGGACCACCCACGGCTAGCCCAGGCTATTAGGACCCTGTAGCCCACTACCTAATGAGAACTGTGAGGTCAGGTCCTGCTTAAAGCATCATGGTGGGCCATACTCAGTCCCACCCAGCATACAGGCAGAACAGACCTGACCTGGGTCCCGCCCAAGGCATGATGTTCACCCCAATTCTACTCACCTGATTTAAGTTGGTGATTATGGTGCTGCCTGAGGGACACAAGTTGCTCGTCAGTGCCGAGGTGACCAGTGTGGTCAGCGTGTTGGAGCCACAGCAGCTGAGCTGCAGAAACCATGGGTGCCACAGTCAGCCCTGACCCAGGGCTCCATGGGATGAAGGGGAAAGGCCAAACACATCCACGTAACCCCAAAACCACACCTCATGGCACATTGCCCTGCTTGGCACACTCCTCAGGCACCTTTGTCCTCGGCACCCCTGGGCAGATGAGGCCCACTAGGTTCCCACCCCTGGGACCAGAGTTACAGAGGACACCCTCAGCCAGGCCCTGTCCTGCTCCTGAGGTCTGGACTGAGACAGCTCTCATCCCTGAAGATCACATCACACCCCAACCAGGACCCCCGCAGCCCACCCTCCTGCCTCAGCCTGGACGCACTGTCTCATGGAAGGTCTTCACCACAGCCTTGGCATTATTGGCGTCATCGTCCACCACGGCCTGCTGAAGGGCCTGGTCGTAGAACTGCTTCACGTCCTTGGCGATCTGAGAGAGAAGCACAGGCAGTAGGGTCTGTCTACCAAGAGCACTCAGCTTCAGCTTGATGCTTCCAAAGAGCTCTTATGACCCTCCTACCAACAGGCACCCCCAAAGCCCCTGCAGCCTCCCTCCCTGGTGAACCTAGGCGCACCTGGTCTTTGTTTACGAAACCCCAGATGCCAGCAGCCACCTCACAGGCAAACAGGATCACAAGGCAGGTGAAGAACTAGGGGAGAGAACAGGTCAGAGCCCAGGCCAGTGAGTCCAAAGAGCAGAGGCCCATGTGACCAACAACCATGTGTCAAGGGGACTGGCCATATCCACCAACCAGGGCCTGATTGGGAATAAGCCATGTGGAGCCACAAAGACCTCATGCAGCCCCTGCACCGAGGTCCAAGTTGTAACAACCGTCCCCTGCTCTCCACTCATCAGGTCACACTTGGGGTCCACAAGTGGCACATCCAAGTACCCACAGCCTTCAGGAGGGCACATGCAGCAGTGTGCCCTCAAGCCTGACCTTGGCTTTCCCACCTTTCCCCACACCCATAGAAGAGTAGACACAAGGTATGCCTCCGTTTCCCCAGCTGGGGTAGCTGGTAGGCTCCCTTCCCTGCTCCATGGCAAGCCAGACTCTAGAGGACACGTCTGGACCTCAGTTCCAGTAGGAGGTAGTGTGCCCAGGGGCACTGAGGCTAGCTTTAGAGAGGAGACACACCCCGTATAGAGTCTGTGCTTTTTCTTAAAGAAATTCCATCTTTTGGCATTAGCCTTCAGAGTCAAACTCGATGGCAATCAACCCAACAGGAAAATCAAAGCACTGAAATTCTGTGGACGACAGGCAGCCAGAGACCCTGCTCCCCAGCCCTGGTCCTGGCCCCAAAGGCCTCCTAACTCACCGTCCCCAGCAGGCACTGGGACTCCTGGATGGCCCCATAGCATCCCAGGAAGCCCACAAACATCATCACGGCTCCCACAGCGATGAGGATGTAGATGCCTGGGGAGAGACCAGGATGAATGGCCACATGTACCACTGTCCAAGACAGGAGTGTACCAGTGCACCCACCACAAGACAGGCCTGGCCACATGAGTGTCCTGTTGGAGGGCAGCTACTGCCATCAAAGGACAGAACAGCAACTCAGTGCCTACAGACACGAGTGACCTGTGTTTCACAGGTGAGCCCAGCCACGCACCCAGCCGCCCACCTCAGGGCACAGGGAAGGAGCACGGATGCCCAGCTGCTGGCCTGGAGGAGGATTCCTGGGACCCCCAGTAAGGGGCTAGTGTGAAAGGGAAGAAAGAAGTTACACAGCAGCCAACTCGACACCCCATCTCAGGACACCAGTGTATCAGCTGTACTACTCGGTGTGGCTGTGCTGGGTAGGGCCCCAACTCTAGAGGGCAGAAACCTGTGGATGGGGTAGCCCGATGATTGACAGAACGGCAGGCACAGCTTGAGCAGGGCATATAAGAACTGGAGCACTTGGCATGGGCTGGGCCATGTCCCTGTCTCAGTACCCACAGTCCTCCTCTCCTCTTGGGAAAGGCCACTGTATCTCTGCAGAGTCCTCCCAGCCCTTGGTCCCTCAGCAGACACAGCCCATCCCCCGGTCTCCACGGCAACGCTGCTGGGCAGCCCAAGCCTTCCTGTGTGAAGCCAGGCCCATTGTCCCCTGCCTGGTCAGCCCTGGGGAGAAGGCGCCAGGGCCAGGACCCAGTGCCAGGCTTAGAAACAGGAAAAGCCTTGGGGCCTGGCTTCCTCTGGCCTCATAGAACACATCTAGTCCAAGGAAGGACTTCCACCAGGGCTGCCTGGCAGGTGGCTTCCCCCTTGACCCGTGACAGGCAGAGAGCACCCTCAAACTAGGCCTCTGTCCTCAGGTCTTGAAACCCCAGCTCAAGACAAAAAGGGTGTCACTACCCCAGCTCACCCAGACAGATGCATCCAGAGTCCCCATGTCCACAGGCCAATGTTCCTGGGATGCCTACAGCCCCTCCCCAGCACATGCCTTCCAAAGCCTCTGAAGTGTTTCCTGAGGTGCTAAGCATGCTTCCAAAGCCAGCTCTCCCTTCTTCCCAGCACTAGACAAAGTGCCTTTGTCAGGGTCACATCTGCTCCCAAAGGGGGAGCAGCCCAGAGCAGCAGGAGGCCAGTTCAGAATGGGCAGGGACATGGCAGCCAGAGGGGCCCTAAGTAGCTCCCATCCACAGACCCGGGCCCTGCTGTGCTATACCCAACCTGTCGCACAGTCTAGTACCTGAGGCTATTTCCCCACAGCCCAGAAAGCCAGAATCGCAGTGCAGTCCCTGCTGAGAACCCCCAGAGAGAGGTCAGCTTCCTAGACCACGCTGTCATGGCCCTGCAGGGTATCCAGCCTCTCCTGCCATACCAGTGCGCAGCAGAAACTAACTCTGACACAGCCCCATAGCATCCACCCCAAAAGGCCCAGGGCTAGGAAGGAGTCTTCCATGGGCTCAGTTCACCCTTGTGAGGATATCCAACCAGCTGCTGTGGGCCCTTGGGGCTGGCAGGCATCCCCCTTCTCCTCTGAAGGGACCAGAGTGCCAATGTGGCCTAGCCAGCATGGCCCCACCCCCAACATAATGAAACTGCAGGTTCCTGTCTCAGAGGAAGCCAGGTTGCACCCCTGCCACAGCCTAATCCATCCCAACCATAGGAGGACTGTGGACAGGGTGTGGGGGTGGGTGGGGAGGAAGAACAGCAGTGAGATGACCGGAGTCCTTGGCTACCCTGGGACACCGGGCGGAAAGGGAGAATACAGGGTGTTTCTGACCTCGCAGGTCCCCACTACTCAGCAGCCAGGCATGTTCCCCAAGCTGAGAGTAGGAGAGGAAGACCCCTTCTAGGCTCCACACAAGATGGAAGATCCACCCCAGGCCCCTGCTGGGAGATGTGAACCAGGGGCCTGTCCTTGAAAGAGCAGAAACAGCTCCAAACACTTCCAGAGTTTCCTGGGTGCCAAGTCTCCCTTTCCAGGGAGGAGGGGGAAAAGTTGTTTCACTCAGCACAGCATAGCACTAAGGCCCTCCTCCTGCTCACTCTGTTGGGGGGGGCTCAGTCCCCCACAGGCAGCCTAATAAGGCAGGTGTAGCTGCCTGGCCTGTGTGGGCCTGGGGGGAGGGGCCTGAGTCAGCGGCTGTGGGCCCAGTCTCCAGCCCTCCCCAGCTCAGGGCTTTAGAGGCCTCAGCTGCTGTTGGCCGAGGCATCCAGCTCCACCCTGCCCAGGGAAGCGCCCCAGAAATGCCCGTGATAAAATAAGCATGGTCCCACAAGGCTCCTGCCCCACCCTGCTGCTGCCCTCTGCCTAGCCTAATCTCTGAGACCTGCAGGGGTCTTCAGGAGTCCCACACCCAACTCAGCTCTCCTGTCCCAAGGACCCCTCTCGTAGGCAGCCTCCCTGTCCAGCACAGGTTAGGCTTAGGCCACTGCCAGGTCTGATTGTTCACCCACCAGTCTAGACCCTCGGCCTCCTCTTGGAAGCCCTCTCTGACTGCTGATCTACAGTCCCTGGTCCTGGGCTTGTAACCAAATCCTGCCCCGAGTCACTCACCCACATAGAAAGTACTGGGTGCCGGCCTGTCTCCCAGCTCCAGGTACAGCAGGCTGGTGGTCTGAGGGTCATGGCGTAGCCACAGGGCCACGCCCAGGATGACGCCTCCGGCCAGCTATGAAAAAAGGCAGAAAACTGTCACACAAAGGCCAGAGCACCGTAGGGCATTAGGACAATCACCCAGAGCCATCGCTTTTCTACTTACTTATTTTTGGTCTTTTTGAGGCAGGGTCTCCCTGTAGCCCCAGCTGGCCTGGAACTTGCTACATAGACCAGGCTGGCCTCGAACTCACAAAGATCTGCCTGCTTTTGCCTCCCAAGTGCTGGGATTAAAGGCGTGGGCTTCCATGCCTGGCTCTAGAGCCATCACTTCTAACTGGAAGGACAGACCCCAGCCAGTTCCACTGTCCGAACCACTGTCTATTCCAGCCCCTGGACCCCACCTGACCTCTGAGCTGTGACTTCAGGACAGTGTGAAAAAGTTTGGGCTGAGGATGTAGCTTGGCTGGTACAGTGCTTGAGCCCTGCGTGGAGCCCCAGGTTCCATTTCCAGCACTGCGCAATCTGGGCATGGTGGTGCATGCCTGTAATCCCAGCACTCAGGAGGTGAAGGCAGATCAGGAGGCCCAGGTCATCCTCAGATGTACAGCAAGTTTGAGGCCAACCTGGGTTACATAAGAACCCTATTTCTAAAATATATGTATTTTACTGATCTCAAGTTCCAGGCTGACTAGACGTGCAATATTTTTATCTGCTAAGTATAAGCCAGGGGCTACACTGAGCCCTGGGCACTTGGGATGTCAGGCCTTTCCCCAAGATGGTATTCCATCCCAACAGTGGTGAGTTGGTTTGGGGGCTGCTGTAGGAAGCGTGCTGGGAACTCTATAGTGGAAACACCAAGTTTTCCCTGCCAGGAAGAGAGAAGTGATCTGATGTCACTGGGCTGCGCAGGGGGAAGCCACAGGGCACAGTCTGCCATGGCTTTGAGTGAAGCCTTGGAATGGAAGCATCTAGAATCAGGAGGCGACCCCTGGGACAGGCCCACATCCAGCCCTCCTCCCTCCTTCAGGGGCCAGTGGTCCTCCCCAGCCTGAAACCTAAACCTGATTTAAAAAAAAAAAAAAAAAAAAAAAAAGCACCAGGCAGCCCATTTCCTGCAGGGGGCCCAGGCCAAGGCATGTGCTCAAGACCCAAAAAGCCCTGGGGATCCCCCAGACAAGCAGGTTGGGGTGAAAAAAGGAGCCCTGAGGCTCACCCATCCCCCACCCCAGACTCCTCTCCTCCACCTCACCCTCAGAAAGAAAGCTGGGGAGAGACTTCCCCCAGAGCACCCTCCCTGTATCCCGACCCATGGGCCTGAAGCTGTGGTTTCCCAGCCCTCTTTAATTTCTAACTCTCTCTCCTCAAGGACGGATGAGACCTTGATCAAGGACCTGGAAAAGCAAGGTGTGTAGGAGAGCCATCAGGCCGTGCTGTGAGCTGCTGGCATAGCCACAAATAGCCTGGAGGACGGGGCCCGAGGATACCCTCGTGTGCCAAGTTCCTGGTGTTGCTGGGGTCCCCAGAATTCCCAGAATCCTGCAGGGACTGTCAGGTCTCTGCATGTCTGAGCCTGTATACCCTTGAGAGGCCAGGGCTTTGGCCAGGGTAGTTGAGACAGGAGGGTGGGTGTGGCAGGCAGCTCCGGCAGGCAGCTCCAGCAGGCTGGAACCCTCCAGAGCTGGCTTGAGGGGAGGAGGTGATGGTTCTGGGTTGCCCTGGTAACCCTGGCTTCCTTTGCAACTTTGAAACATGTATTTTGTTTGGAAACTGGTCTAAAGGTCACTCTGAGATGTTCCAGGGCAGAAGGAGTAGGTGACATACCCCTTCCCCAATCCTCCCTCTGTGGTCAGAGACCTGGTAGTGACAGACCCTGACTCAAGTCACCGAAGCTGAAAGACAGCTGGTGGGCCACCCCGCCTTCCCCAGCCTGTTTGCCCACCTGTTCAACAGCTGAGCATGCAACCATGCCTGGCTCAGGCTGCACCACCGGCACCCTCCCCAGCCGGGTGAACACTACCTGTGAGCTACGAGCAGAAATGGGTGAGCGATGATGTTCAGTCAGCTCGAGGGGCCTGCTAGCATTGTAACGGAGGCTTCCAGGGCAGGCTGGGGAGGCCAACACCAGGAAAGACTCTGTCCTCCATGCTGACAGGCAGACCAAACGCCAAGAGCCTGTGGCTTTCAATCAGAAAAGCGGCCAGCTAAAGCGGGGAGGGGGTGAGACCTCAGGGAATGGGGCACTTGGCCGCTTACCCCCTTGTCCCTGAGACAATCAGAGCCATTCTAGGTAGGAGAAGGAACACTGGGCTGGCTGCCCCAGCAAAGTGACCCTCTGCCTTCTACCCTAGGGAAAGACAAAAAGGTAAGGGGCTAAGGAAGGTGAGGTGGGGGGGGTGTTCCCCCAAGGAGTCAGAGGTTCGAAATGAACCTACTCTTCAAAGTGCCATCAGCCAGGTATGGTGCTGCACGCCTTTAGTAGCAGCACTCTGGAGGCAAAGGCAGATGAATCTCTGTGAGATAGAGGCCAGCCTCGTGGGAGACCGTCTCAAAAAGACCAAACCAAACAAAAACCTTACCATCAGCCATGGCCGGACAGGTAAGTGTTTAACGTGACCAAAAGGGATACGGATCGTCTATGGGGCTATGCTAAGAAAGTCAACCACCCACATTTCTCAAGGCATGTATACAAGGAGAGAGGGCACCCAGACGGGGCTAGCCTCCTCATATAAGGCATCAAAGAAGAGCCTCAGTGAGATTTCCAACCTTCTCACTAAAACCAAAACTGCTGCCCAGTGCTGCAGAGAGGGGTGAGGGGGCTGCTGCCACCCTAGGAAGGAGCTTGTGGTTCCTGAAGTCTGCTTCTGAGAAAGTTAGCTTAGCGCCCCACCCCCCTCGCCTTTACACTTGTGCATGAATGTTCCCCAAACCTTCCCTGCTGTAACTCCCAACTTAGAGCAGCCCATGTATAGTAGTCACCAACTGGTGACTACAAAGGGCCTAGGGTCCATCATACGGTGGGACCCTCGCTAAGGAAGGTGAGGTGGGGGGGGTGTTCCCCCAAGGAGTCAGAGGTTCGAAATGAACCTACTCTTCAAAGTGCCATCAGCCAGGTATGGTGCTGCACGCCTTTAGTAGCAGCACTCTGGAGGCAAAGGCAGATGAATCTCTGTGAGATAGAGGCCAGCCTCGTGGGAGACCGTCTCAAAAAGACCAAACCAAACAAAAACCTTACCATCAGCCATGGCCGGACAGGTAAGTGTTTAACGTGACCAAAAGGGATACGGATCGTCTATGGGGCTATGCTAAGAAAGTCAACCACCCACATTTCTCAAGGCATGTATACAAGGAGAGAGGGCACCCAGACGGGGCTAGCCTCCTCATATAAGGCATCAAAGAAGAGCCTCAGTGAGATTTCCAACCTTCTCACTAAAACCAAAACTGCTGCCCAGTGCTGCAGAGAGGGGTGAGGGGGCTGCTGCCACCCTAGGAAGGAGCTTGTGGTTCCTGAAGTCTGCTTCTGAGAAAGTTAGCTTAGCGCCCCACCCCCCTCGCCTTTACACTTGTGCATGAATGTTCCCCAAACCTTCCCTGCTGTAACTCCCAACTTAGAGCAGCCCATGTATAGTAGTCACCAACTGGTGACTACAAAGGGCCTAGGGTCCATCATACGGTGGGACCCTCGAGGAAAAGACAGATCCACAGAAGAGCACATCCAGGACCAAACAGCCAGCCCCTTCGGACTGCGTAAAAGCAGAATTCAAAGTTCGTTCAAGGCAGCTCAGTCCTGGAACTGGAAGGGGCAGGAGGGGCCACAAAGGATCCCAGGACCCTCTGGAATAGATCTGATGGTGGGTATGGTTTCACAGGATATACATGTTCACTGTGTGGCTGGCAGTGATCTGACAAGGCACACACATCTTGTCTACAGATCCACAGGTTAGGATAATCTACAAAAACGATGGAACATGCACACCAATTTTTAAAAAAATCTCAGAGACAAAAACCAAAACAACAATAACAAAAAATCACCAGCCTGAGGTCCATGGAGATACGGAGGGGCACAGGATGAGGCCTAGGCAGGTTAGGGTGGCCTGGCCTCTAGGTGTGTCATGTCTGAGCTGGGTGACCTCAGGCCCATCTTGGCCTCCTCTATCCTGATCCTCATTTGTAATTAGGGGACGTTCATGCGCAGAGGCCACCGTATTTAGCTCTCAACAGAGCTGAGGACACGATCCATGCTGGGTCTTAGACCATCAGAATCTGAAAACACCTCTGCCCCAAGTTCCCCTTTGGGAGGCAGCTCTGCCACCTGCTCCTGCAGCCTCAGAGACCTCTTGCTTAGGGGTGGTGGTGGGAGGCGCCCAGGTGGTGTGTCCAGATTCCTGGTGCACTGTTCCAGGGAACAGAAGGGTGCATTCATAACTCTATACAGGATTATGTTGCTTCCTCCTTCCTGGGGACTAACACATAACAGACTCAAACTTTAACAACAGGAGGAGCTGCCAGGCACGCTGGGTCCCTGCCCGGCCGGTCTTGCAGTTTCTCAGAAGTGACTGAAAGGGAACAGGCCTGGGGCAGCATTCTACTCTGACCTAGCTGCTAACTGCCTGCTGCCTGCTCTCGGCCTCAGACTCAGACGAGGGCTTCCCCATTGCTACACACACACACCTCGCATCAAGGGAGGGGCAGGATTCCTGTCACCCTAGTTGGCCACCCAGAGTGGTCAACTCCCCACACCCCCCCATGTTCCAGGAGCCTGACTCTCACGGGCTAGTTCCTTTAAGTGACAGTTCCTTTTGTGCCTCTAGGGCAGAACCAAAGGCAGGGGACAGACTGGGGGGCTGGGCCTGCTCAAAGCCTTCTAGGTACCCGGTGTACGCAGGAAACTATGCCAGAAAGCACCTGCCCACCTCAGTAACTGGGGGCCTAAAAACCTTCCCTGGGGCTCCAGGAGACAGTGGAGGGAGGGAAGAAGGCCTTTCCAGGGTCAGCTTGGATAAGCCAGAGGAAAGAGGCTTCATCCAGGCTGCTTTCAGGAGCTGGGGGCACCGGTGAGGTGAGGGTGCTGATGGAGGGAGGGGACGTGGGGTGCTGCCCTTCCAACCTGGGTCCCTGCAGGTTAACCCCGTGCCCTCAGGCACCACAGGAAGACAGTGCCTGGTCTGGGATTGGGAGGACAAGGTCAGATTCCTCTCTGGGGGACCCAGGACCTGCTCAGGCCTTCCCAGGAAGCCAGGACTCGCAGCCCACCGGAGGAGGCTCAGGAAGGAAGGAACTGGAGGGAAGGGCAGGAATCTTCATCTTGGCCAGGAAGCGCAGCTCCTTTCACAAGGCCTCCTCGACTCAGGAAGCCACTGTCCCAGTGTCTAAAAATAAGTGAAGGGGCAAAAGCCTAGCCTTGGGGCCCTGCTGATGGCCAGGGGTGCAAGGGGCCTGGAAGTGGTCACAGGCTTTAGAGGACTGGGTCACCCCAGCCAGGTCTGTTCCAGGGACAGGTTTCTCGCCTCCTTCTCGGGCAGGAAAGTTGGGAGGGACCTTCCCCCTTGGCCCACACCTGCCCTCCTCTAGTTAGCCCGCTGCCCCATGAAGCCCTGAAGGGAGACTATGTGGATCCAGATGGCCACAGTGACCTGTTAGATATGAGTACAGCAGGGGGCTGCAGGGAAACAGGGCCTCCTGGAGTTCTGTGCTTCAGAGAACGTTTCAGAGGGCCCGGCATGGTGGGAGGGTGAAGGGAGGCAAGGGGCAGAGTGGGTAGAGGAGTCCTGTACGGCTCAGGTGTTACCACCAGCCACACTAGGCAGCCGCATCTGCTCCCAGCTGGGCATGGCCCCAGTCCAAGGGGCTTTGAGGCTGCCGGCTCTCTAGCCCGCCCCACTCCACTGCTTCCCCACTCGGTGGCTTGGTCGCTTAGAAACCTCAGTTCCCTTATCGACCTGGATGAGCCGTTATCATGGGCTCCAGGGCACAGGAGAAGCCTGTTCCCAGAGGCTGAGGCCATGGGGTGGGTCCTTTAGTGAAGCCGTCAAAGTTACAGTATGTTTGGCACACACCATAGCCTCTGGCAAGCCTGGGCCCCACTCAAGCTCAGGGCTGGGGCCCTAAGAGAGCAGGTGGCTTGGGTTTCCTCACCCCGACAACCTGCCACACCGGGCACCTGGAAGCCTCATTGGGCGTTCACCGTTAGCTGTAGTGCAGAGCCAACTCTGATGGCTAACAGGTGACGACAGCATGGGTAACAGGCCACGATGCCAGACCCACCGAGAAGGCGATGATGACCCTTCAGATGGGAGGCACAGAGCGATCTGGGAGATAGGATACCACAGGGAAGCACAGGGTGTCTGGGGCCCTATTGCCCAGTGTCTCATCCCCAGGCTGACTGGCTCCCACCGCCAGCCTCCAGCATCTGGCCCCTATACCTATACCTAGGCTGTCTGGACCCCACATCTGGGATCTGTTGGTTCCTTTCCTGGAGTACCAATTTACGGTGCTTTGGGGCTCCAAAACTCTGGGCACCCTTAGTTCTAATGCACCTCCCTGCACTCCCAGCCCCTGCAGCCCTCACAGGGCCCCACATGCAGGAAGGCAGCTACCCTCTCCCAGCACCCCTTGTAGCTATGTTGGCAGACAGCTCAGGAGGCCCACCACTGGCTGATCACTAACTAGCCCCTTGGAAACCAGCTCCCAAAAATTTGGGGCCCATGCAGAGGACTCTCAGATGTTTTTTAGGGATGTTGCTTGGGACTTGCAGTTGGCTGGTGGAGCACTTAGGCTCGACCCAGAAAAGAGTGAGCCTGTGAGTGTGTGCATGCATGCGTGCGTGCGTGTATGTGTGTATAGGGGAGCTACTAGGGTCACAGGCAGTCAACAGGTTCCTGGAAGACCACTGACATGCTAGGTTACAGTGCATCCTTCTGGACGGGTGAAGGCCACTGGGGGCCAATTCTGAGACTCCAGCAAAAGTCTCAGAACAAAGTTGGCCACAGGGTCACCCAGTACTGTGTCCTAGCCAGTTCCCTGGTGTCAAGGCCAGCCCTGCCCCACCCTATCCCCCACCAGAACCCTCTCCAAACATCAGGCCTGTGCAAGGGTGACTGCCTGCTCCCTCCTGCCTGCTCCCTGGGGCACCTGGACTCTAAGCCTATTGATCTTGTGATTGGGGCACCATCCTTTGGCAGGCCTTCAGGTGCTGGAATCAAGGCTGACAGAGGGCGGCTCAGAAGCTGGTAACTCCAATTCTGGAGGCAGGACTTGAGCTAAGGTGGGGGTGCAGGGAGAAAGCCAGAAGGAATGAGGTGGGGGGCTCTTAGTGGAAGGGTACAGCATGTGGGCACCGGAGCAGAGCTTGCAAGGGGCTTCCAAGACTCCCAGAATGCCCTACTTTTTTGCTCCAGCGCCATGCCCCTCACTGCTCAGACATCCTCATCTAGGCCAGCGCAGGGACAAACCACAGACTTCCTCTCAGGCAGCCCAGTCCAATGGTAGTCTCCCCAAATCTGGGCAACCAGGGGAAGTCTGCTCGCCCACTGGTGAAAACGGGCACAGGAAGTCCTCAGCCCACCCTGAGCTTGCCAGGATTGCAGCCCCTCTTCCGGAAGGAAGATTGTAGACCACTAGGTGACAGACAGTCATGTGCAGTCTGGAGAATTAAATGCCAGTGAGGAGGCTGTAATCAGCCGTTCTCAGTGGGTCTGGCTTCCTGGGCCACTGGAAGCCTTAGGCTGGAGGGGCAGCCAGTCCTGGGCAGGGAACATAGCCTTCATCCCAGCAGGGACTCATGGCAGCCCTCCCCGGCTCCCGGGGCCAGCCAGCTGGGTGGACATCCGTTATCACACCCATTTCACAGATAAAGGAAGCAAGGCTCCTGCAGTCCAGGCTGGTCACCTACCCCAGGGTAGGTGTGTAGATAAGCCAGGATAAATAACACCTGCTCTTCTGACCTGTTCCCAGCAACAGGAAACAGAGGGACTGGCCCCCTGTACCCCAGACCCATCCCAAGGGGCAGGTGTCCAGGCTGCTGGTAAAGGCGCCTGTGCAGTCTCCTGCCGAGGCCGCCTGCTGCTTCCTGCCTTGTCTCCTGACTCACACAGCCTGGGAGTTCGAGACTGCTGGGCTCAAAGTCAGCTCTTGAGCAGTATTGATAAGCCAGTCTTTCTGGGGAGCAGAATGTGGGAACTTTTCTGGGGTGTCCCCTCCCACAGGAAAGCCACTCTCATCTCAAAAATGAAACTTAAGTGTCCTTCCAGACATCCATCATCAGCCTGTTCCCACCTCCAGCCTCCCTGAGCTCCTAGCTGCCCCAATACCCACCATGGGCCCTACAGGGCCTCCCAGCCCCCTCCCAGAGGCTGCCCATACACCACTGCCCAGCTTCCTTGGCCCGGCTCCCTGTGGAACATCATGCCCAGCATCCATTTCCTGAGCCTTCCCTGTGCCAAGCCCCTTGCTCCACACTCTTAGCTAGTCTGTTTGCAATCCTAGGAGACAGGGACCTCGAGAACTCCTAGATCAGAGGGAGGAAGTGGAGGTTGAGGGCCAGAACAGTAGGGTGGGGGCCTCCCCAGAGGTCCAACTCCGTAGCATCTAGGGTATTTTCAGCCACAGGGCAAGCCTTGCTAGAGGGGGTGCAAAGAGTGTCCCCTCTGCCAGGACAGGTGCACCTGGGTGTTCCGCATCCCTGGTCACTGTGGGGCCAGCAGGAGTGGGGAAATCTGTGAGACTGCAAGAACATGGTTTTCACTGTTCCGCGCTGGGTGGGCCCCTGGGAGCAGGGAGAGGCCATCAAGAGGTTTCTTGGAGCCTCAACAGAGACCACCCCCAGGGACATACTGGGGCTCCACCCCAGCTGCCTAGGAAACAACCAACCTCATCCAACCCCAGCTCCCCAGGGAGGCGGGGGGTGGGGGGGCTACCAGCTGGGGCAGGTGGGTGAGACACCCACCTTCAGCTCCCTATAGAGTCCTTACAGCCCACATCTGGGGCTCAAGGACCAACGGAGGAACTCCCGGGGTGTGCGTTTAATGTCTTGCCTCGGCCACAGCAGGTAAACACTGATCAACATGGCCATCCAGTCACGGTTCTCAGGACATGCTGGGGCAGGACAAGGTTACAGCTATCACCCATGCTGCTCCCTGGAGTCTGGGAAACTGCCAACCAGTGTCCCTCCAGCAGGCCACACAGCACTGCCTGGCTGGGGAGGTGGGTTGTGTCACTGTGGACTGCCTACCCCCAACATCTCATTCCCTATACCCGCCCACCCTGGGATCCTCAGCAATCCAGATGGAAAACAGATGTCTACCATCCCACACACTCACTCTAGGGGCCATCTTAAAGTTTGCCCTCCCAGCCTCAACTTTAGAGACACTGCCTGGGCATGACCCCATTCCTCCCTGGCAAAAAACGAAAGGAGGTAAGGAAGACAGGCTGGGCAGTGCAGGGGGGCAGGGTGGAAGCACCATCCAGAGGAGTGCCCAGCACCACCCACTCAGTCCCTGCAGGCAGGCCTGGAAGACTCTCTACCCCTCCGCAATTCCAGCCTGGGCAGGAAATGGAAACAAAAAGTCACACCACCATAGGTCACTCTCCAGCAGCCAAGAGTCAGGACAAAGTACCTCCCAGCTCAGGGACCCCGGACACCCTCCTACATCTCTCTGCACCCCCAAATGACAAAATGAGTGTGCACCTCGTTCCAAAGTCTGGACCTCCTACATCTCAAAGAAACCAAGCCCCTGATGTCTACAGACCCTTCCCATCTTTGGCTTACCCTTGCCTGTGCCAACTCAGAACTGTATGCCCCAATGCCTCATTCCCCTCGAAGCCTCCAAAGGCCCCGGCTGTGTTGTCTGCCTGCAATGAGGAAGGACAGCTCGGCCCCCGGGAACCAGGGCATGCTGCGCACCAGCATTGGGGCCACCCTGTCCTTCCCTAGGCCTGGAGCCCGACCCCCATGATGGTTCCAGGGTGGCGATACCAGGCTAGAGGGTGACCAAGGATGGGTTAAGAGTGGGGTGGATATACCCAAAGCTTGGATAGAGCGTGCCCCCCCCAACTTCCAGGCCCATCCAGGGGCGGTGGTTAAGATGAGCTCATGGGGGCGGGGCACCGAGAGCCCCGCCTTTGAGCCCCTCGGTGTTGGCGAAGCAGGATGAGCCCCAAAACAGGATCAGGAGGGCTGCCTGGACCCCTGCACGGATGAGGGCTCCGGGGTATGTGGCTCTGGCCCCCTTGCAACGGCCACCCATGCCCCTGACACCCGGACCCTGTGAGCTCATCGTGCGGAGGCCCGAAGCCCAGGTAGCTGTCCCGATCTTGCGGTGGAGGGGTGCCGAGGTCCGGGAACCCCCCCAACCTCGTCTGTCCACCAGTGCCCACAGGTGGCGCCGCAACTTGGTGGCCGCGCTGCGCTCCGCTCCCCGCCCCCCGCCGGGGCCTAGTTTGCGGCCCAGGCTGCCCACGCGGGGGGGGGGGGGCAGCCCGCCCCGCCCCCCCCCCCCCGCGGGGGCCTATTTTGCGGCCCGGGCGCCCCCCGGGGGGGGGGGGGGTGCAGCCCGCCCCGCCCCCGCCCCAGCCGCTCACCCAGAAGACGAAATTAAAGACGAAGAGCAGGTATTTGATGCACTTGGTGCAGCCCTCCACCCCCATGGCGGCGCGCGGCGGGCGGCCTACGGAGCTGGTCCTGGAGAGGGAGGTCTCCGGCGCAGGGGTCCGGGAAGCTGGGGCGGCCGGGCTGGGATTCTGGGGTGCAGAGAACCGGGCGCAGGCCACGCAGAGGCTGGAGGGCTGGACCGGGGAACCGCAGACTCCGCGCTGAAAGACAGTACGCGCTCGCTCGGGGACCGCGCGCGCAGCTCTCTGCACCCTTTATAGACCGTTAGGCCACGCCTACCCGCGGAGACCACGCCTCCCAGGCCACCCGGCCCCGCCCAGGCCCCGCCTCCCGCCTGCGGGGAGCCAAGGCTGGGGGAGCTCGGGTGCTGCAAGGTGCATGTACCCCTGAGCAATGGCACTTAGAGCGTCCGGAAGTTGGTTGCAGCTAGACCTCACTCTCTGCGCGTGCGCTGGGGACATGCGTCCGGGAGCTGCCGGCGGGCCTTGAACCCCCCAGGACTGGAAACAGCCCCCTCCACCTCTCTCCTCCCTTCAGGCCTTCCTCGGGCGCCTTGGACTTTTCAGGAGGGCTCTTCAGAGGAGGTGACTCTCCAGGGGAAGGGTCCTACCGAGACTCCAGTGCTCTATGTATAGTGCTCTCCCAGGCAACAACTTGGGTGGGCCTGAAAGTCTGGAATGGAATTCTGGGCAGCCAGTCCTATGTCCAGTGGACAGAGGGCAGTCCGTGGGAAAGTAACAGGTGCCGCCCCTCCCCCCGCATGGAAATGCTATATTCCATGCTGTCTGTCCTGGCTGTGCCTTCCAAAGCTGCATCCTTTGGAAAGGTGCTGTGACCCTGCAGGTGTTGGGGCTGTGAGTGGGGAGAGAGTCAGAGAAAGGGTGTCCTCTCCCTCCTAAGGAGTGGTTGCTGTCTGCCACCATATGCCCTAGTTTGCTTTCTTTGCTGTGATGAAACACTGACCAAAAGAATCTTGGGGAGGAAAGGGTTTATTACCACCCACCATCCAGGGCAGCCAGGGTAGACACTCTAGACAGGAAATGAGGCTGAGAACACAAATTACTTACTGGCTCTCTTCCCTTCCCACACCCCTCTGTTCAGTTCTTAAACAGCTCAGGTGCACCTGCCTAGGGATAGCACTGCTCATAGTGGGCTGGGCCTTCCAACATCAATCAGCAGTTAAGAAAATGCCTAGCAGGCCAGTCTGAACTGGTTCTTCCTAGGTGACTGTAGTTTGTAAAGTTGACAAAAACTAAGCAGTACAACCTAGTTGATATTCTCCTCATCCTCTGGGCCAAACCTGAAGACTTCATCAGTAGGGCTCCCTGGGGACCATGGAGGGGGAGGAGCAGCTCCCAGGACCCTAGCCTCTCCACTTTCCTGCTGGTTCTTAAAACTTTGAACAGAGAAGGACACTTTCCCTATGGGGCAGTCAACTGGTAGTCACTGAGCACCAAAGAGCTTTTGGAGATAGGGTTTCACTATACAGCCCTGGCTGACCTGAAACTCGCCATGTAGACCAGACTGGCCTTGATCTCACAGCTGCCTGCCTCTACCTCTGGAGTGTTGGGATTAAAGGTGTGCGCCACCATGCCCAGCACTCCAAGGATCTCAATTTTGAACTATTGTGTCATAGTTTACCTGTAACCCCCTTGGCTGGCAAGCTTCCTGGGCTTCATCTGTGCTCTGCCTGGCTGGTAGCTTTTTTGAGGGTTAGTTTGTATGTTTGTCTTAGCTTCTCGCTTGGATACCCAAGACTAACACAGACTTGTGTCTGCTAGTTCCTGGATGCTCAAGTGATGTCACAATAAAAGTCACTCCAGGCCCACATGGGAGTCTGCAAGGATTCTTTTTGTTTAAAAGGGGGAAGATGCCAGGCACGGTGGTGCACGCCTTTAATCTCAGCACTCAGGAGGCAGAGTAATCCTAGTGTTCGGGAGGCAGAGGCAAGCGATCTTTGTGAGTTTGAGGCCAGCCTGATCTACATAGAGAGTTCCAGGCCAGCTGGGGCTACAGGGAGATCCTGTCTCGAAAAGACAAAAAAGGGGGTGTCCTTGACTGTGCAGAGATGGGCACCTGCTCTCCTGTCAACTCCCCACTGTCTCCAGGGATAGGGAACTTACCACCAGAAGCACAGTATGCACACGGTAGGCTGTACAGGATCAGTTGTTCTCTCCTCTCCCTTGAAGGTACATCAGGTCTCTAGTGGGCACCACTATGTGCTGAGATCTACTCTTGGTGGGTGCTGGCTGTGAGTAGACTGGGGCCCTTACATGGTGGGGGTGACAGGTGTCATCTCCAAATGACCTCATCAGTGCTGAGGATGTGGGGAATTTCCCGGATGCTTGACGGATCGTGTAGCACTTTCCTCCAAACTGAAACGTTCCATCCCAGAACAGAGCTTTGATGACTCAGGAAGTCTTGAGGAAGTCCCTAAAACTTACTCGATACACAAGATCCTCCCTCCCCAAGGGTATATGAGCAGTGATAGCTGAGAAGAGACATTTCCCACCTGTTGAGCTGCCTGCCAGTGGGTCAGAGAGCTCTGCAGTTACAACTGTCCATCACCCAAGCAGGGGTGGGCTTCCAGTGAATGGCTACCTTTGAGTCATCCTTTACCTGTGTTGCTAAAATTCCTGCCCTGGGGGAGATCTAAACAAAATCCCTTCTCCCCCAAGGTCCTAACAAGCCAAGGTACGATTCTACCTAGGTTCACAAATGAGCTTATTGGGCCTACTTACAGAGCATAGATGGGGGGTTCCTAAGGCCACACTGGGAAGTCTTCACCCAGCCTGGATGATGGCTTCCCCATAGCCGCATAGGTGGAGCCCCAACTCTTTCCCCAGTCTCTCCCAGTCTATGTACTCTGGCCCCTCCCTAAGGCCGTGTGCAATTAAAGCAGACCCGCATACGACAGACTGAGGGGCCTGGCTGGATGCTCAGGTGAGGGTCCCGTGACCCTCCCCACCCCTCCTTCAATGAGGGACATCAGTAGTCAACAGGCCCAGCTGGGATGTTCTTTAGGAAGAGGGCGTAGCTGAAATCCTGAAGATGGCAGTCTGGCTCAGAGGACAGCCCTGTGTAACATCCTGTAAGTGACCCCCTCACCCATACTCCTGTAAGAAACTCCAACAAACTCACTGGTTCAACAGTTGGACTTTCTCTACTATCGTTACTTTGGTCTGGTGTCGGTTCCCTGTCTGGGGTGAATAGATGTTTGTGTTGCTTCTCCCCCGGAAAATGTCACAATAGGCATGGATGTGCACTGTGGGGTCTCAGAGGAGCTAAGATAGATCTAGACCCTGACAGGTAAAAAGCCTGGGGAACTGGGAGAACCATTCCAGGGCCAGGCACAGACAGAAAGCCCTTGGACCAGGCGTAGATGGAGGTGGGCTAGACAGGTCAGGCACAGGTGGAAGGCAGGCGCAGCTGCATGCTATTCTAATTGAAGGGGCCTGGCTGCAGGGCATATGGGGGCCGCCTTGCAGGCCCACACCTGTGAGCACCATGCCTGACGTGCCCTGCCTAGCAGCTTGCCAGCTTGCCCTCATGAGGACTTCAGAGACCCAGGGCCAGCTTTGTAGGGCCTGTGTCAGGTAGGTACCCAGAGGGTGCATCTGAGAAGGGTACCTGCAGTTAGCTCAGCCTGACGGAGCTCCTGCTCGGAGGCACTAGGGACAAAGGCAGGTGGACTGTGTTAGAGGATGAGGGCAGCTCAGGGCGGAATGGGAGGTTCTTCCCTGCCTTGCATCTGGCTGGCTGGGGAAGCTCCCCTTCTTCCAGAGGGCTGGCTGTCCAGAGAAAGGGGGGGCTGCAGAGGGCTGGAAAGGCAGGCCTTTATAGTCTGAGACTTGTCTCAGAATCTTGCCTTTTGTATGACTGAGCTGGTTCCTCAGTTTCCCAATGTGCAGCAGAGGTGTTATAGAGGTTCTCTAGGTGAATGTCCTGTGACAATATGCCCTTGTCACTTGAAGCAGGGCCTGGCCTGCTGGAGACTCACGGTCAAGCTCTGTTTGACCAAGAGACTGCCTGGCCTGGCCCCAGGGCTGGTGACTCACTACCCCACAGCAGTCTTGACTGTGTCTGTGACTGTGGTGGTGGGGGTGGCAGTGGAGAGGTGGGGGGTTGTTACAGAATCCTCTGGGTCTCAATTTCCTGAAGTATTCCTGAAGGCAGGCTGTTTATGCAGAGCTTGCTCAAGCAAGGAGGTTGGCCACTGTCACTTCTGTTTGTAAGCAATTCATATGCAGGTCAGGGAGAAGGTCAGCTGTGTACTTAAAAAGAGAGTTCAGCATCCAAAAACAAACAGAGCAGTATTAGACAAAACCCTTATCATCAGCTCCATAGACACAGGAAATGCAGTGCCCCCCAAAATGCCACACTCCCTTGATAAGAACACTAGTTCACCAAGCCTGGCGTGATGGCACACACCTTCAGTCCCAGCACTCAGGAGGCAGAGGCAGATGAACTCTGTGACTTCAAGGCCAGCCTGATCTACATAGTTATCTCCAGACCAGCTGTGGCTACAGGGAGACACTGTCTCAAAAAGACCCCAAAACAAAAACAAAAAAACCCCAAAACAAAACAAGAAAACACTAGTCACCAGCAAGCCAAGGGAATCTGTTTGTCCCCCAAACCTGATGAAGGACTGAAGGCTATCTATGGAGAGAAACAGACAAGATGGTTTGGGCATTTCTCCAGAAGGCTCTAGCGTGGATGCAATGTGACCAGCCGCCTCACGCTCCTGCCGCCATGACTTCCCACCATGATGGACCCTCAAACCTTGAGCAAACAAACCCCTCTTCCTTAGGTTGTCAGGTATTTTCACATGACAGAGAAAAAACCAGTACCAACAGGAAGGACACAACGCTATTGTCCGAATGCCTCCCCCTTATCCACATACTGAAATCTTTTATTCCATTTTGAAAGGGGGGAGGGAGGGAGGGAGGGAGGGAGGGAGAGAGAGAGAGAGAGAGAGAGAGAGAGAGAGAGAGAAAGAGAGAGAAAGAGAGAGTGCAGTGTGTGTACAGTGAAGGTCAGAGGACAGCTTGTGGAAATCCATTCTGTCCTATCACGTGGGTCCAGGGGATCAAAATCAGGTCAGCAGGTGTGGCAGCAGGTGTCTTTACACACTAAGACATCTCAGCAGCCCTCCTGGTGAAATCTTAACCCCGAAGGGATGGTATTTGGAGGTGGGATCTTTGAGGGTGATCAGGTCATGAGGACAGAAGTCTCAAGAATTGCATTAGCG